AGGTACATCAGGAAACTGAGATCAGGATCTGTAAACAATCAAGGACCGAAAACCAGAGAAGCAAAAACCAAAACCATCAAAGTACAAAGGAAAATCCTACAGAGTAAATGAGGGCGAAAAATGGTCAAAAATACAGGAATCAAAAACAGAAAGAAAGCTCAGTATGCAAAAGACAGGGCACTTGGCAATACTTCGCAAAGAGCATCTGATATGAACAGGTGTACATATATATATATATATATATATATATACATATATATATATATATATGTATAAACAGAGGTAACGAGCACAGGTAAAAGCAGTTAGAACTCTGGGGAGGAGGATCTGTGTAACTGATTAGGATCGGTTGGTGTTGGCCTTGTGACTGTGATGTCAGAACTAGATGAATCATGGGAGTTGGAGTTTACAGGTAGGTCTGAGACTTCAGAGGAACTGGGTTGCTTGACAGTAATGAAACGTAATGCAGTATTATTTGTGCATAGTTACGAGGTTACTTAGGGATTGTAAAGTATTACCATATTCTCTGATCTCTACTCAAGTCTGTAGGTTCAGAATCAATATCCTGAGTTTGTTTTAGTTCTTCAGAGACTTTTCATTCTCTCATCATGCTGTTTGTTTGTTTTCTGTGTTTATATTTGAATTTCCTGATTGAATGACAAATGAGGACAGAAGTGACCTGTTTTTCCTCATGAGCCAATCAGAGTGCAGATTGTATTTTAAACTTTAGAAGGACGGCAGTTCAGTGGCAGATTCTCAACACAGTGATGCCTGAGTAGCACTGTAATATGTGTTTATGTTGAGACCAAGAAAAGACCAAGATCATTAATTCATGGACTCGAGAGTCAGACTGACCTCAAACACTAAAACACTAGTCTGAGGTTCTGTTTCAAAATATCCAGCAGTTGCAAACTATTCACTGACCTTAATAATGAATGTAGCAACAAGATTACTTTTAAACCTTATGTAGTACATATATGTATATATATATATATATATATATATATATATATATATATATAGTATATATAGTATAGTATATATATAGTAACATTAGTATATATATAGTAACATTATTAAACATGAAAGGTACCTTTAATATTCAAACAGATAGTTAATTGGAATTTAAAGTCTTACTGTGTCCTTCAGAATTTTTGACACTTTCCTAAATAAAGGCCATAAAAAGACACAAAGGCCATGAACAATGCCATTATTTTTTTTAGCATGATCTCCAAAATAAGTAAAGAAATGTAAGAAGTGTAAAGTGTGATTGGCCTAATATCAGCTACTGCTTAGTGACTTAAATCTTCATCAACAGAAACATGTACTTTTTTCGCTGTTTACATCCACATCAGACTCAGACATTGTTCTTTCTGCAGGTTGTTAAATTGTAATATCACAGATGAAGGCTGTGCTGCTCTGACTGCAGCTCTGAAGTCAAACCCCTCACACCTGAGAGAGCTGCATCTGTTTGGGAATGACCAGATAAAAACACAACGTGAGCAGCTGTTTGCTCTTCAGCGTAATAAACATAACAGACTACAAGATCTAAAGTGAGTAACAGTGATTTCAGGTAAATATGTACACACACACACACACACACACACACACACTGTGGGTTGCTTTCCCAGACACGGATTAAATCTGATTTTAGACTAAACCGAAATGCCAAAAGTGATTCACACTGTAAAATCTCTGTGATTGAGCTACATGTAGGAAACTGATTCTACATCTTTTAAAGGAGTAACTTGATTATTATATTGACTAATTCTGTATTGAAAATAGTGTTTTTTTTGTACTGAAAGTTATTTTTTGGTTATTCTGTTTTTTAGAGTGTGACGTTGATGTGTATTATTGATCACCAAAGAGACGACATCATGAAGCGATGAAGTGATTTCTGAATGTGTGAGGAGCTCCAGCAGCAGAGGGAGACACAGTGTGTGTAAATACAGTATGAGTGTGTGGACTAGATGGACGTGTGTGTTTGTGTACAGAAAACTTCATGAGAAATAAAACAGTAAACAAACAACACTAAAAATGAATGTCTGATATTCAGAGAGGAAGAATCGTCTACTCTGTCACTCTCAGGTAACAGATGGACCATGTGCTATTTTGTCCAGTGAAGGAGGTGGATTTCCCCTTTGTGAGATTAATAAATGGTAGCTTAACTTAAACTAGAAGCAGTGACTGCACTGCCTGTTGTGTGCTCAGGGTCATCTGAGTCTATTTTGGCTATTTGTCTCTAAAAGTGTGTACAAAATACACAGACACAGCATTTCACTTTAGAGCAAGTGCTGATTTAGTGCTGCTTCATACTATCTGTTCAGTGATAAACATCATACAGTACATTCACCTAGTGTTGTGCCGATACTGGCGCTTAACTGCAGTATTGGTATCGGTGATGGGGATATCGATACCTATGACCGATACCACAAAGCAGTTTCTGACGCTTTCTGTTTCTGACAAACGCGCGAGTCTTTATCCTGAGTAGATTGTTTTTACCCACTAAGTGCTGCACAGCTGATGCTGTGTCTGAACAGTGAGCCTCCAGATTCTTTAACCTTGTAGCAAAACACAAAGTGGACTGGAGCTGTGCTGTTTTCACAGTGCACAAATCAATCAGACCCCTGAACGAACCACAGACAAACCTCACTGAGACCACCCTGGGGATCGCTCTGAGTTTGGTTCGTTTGTGGGTCATTTAGAGGGTCTGATTTAGCTTGATGTGTTCAAATATGATCAGAAAACCACGACTCCGCAATCTGAGACCACTTAAACCACTTAAATGATCCAAGTGTGAAAACGCCCTCAGTCTCAGTTGTAGTTGGCTTGTTTCCCAATGAATCTTAATAAAGAACAATATTTTGTCTGAAAGTGAAAGCTGTTTGTTTTGTTTATAGTCTGAGTGTAATTTCATGTGTCTCTTTAAGAAACAATCCTCACTGTAGATCAAGCTGAACAGCTCTGACAGTGTTTTAGTGCAGTAATAGCATTTTAAAAAAGAAGTGGTGTTTGTGTTTTTGTTCAACTTTAAACAATGCAAAAGTGATTAAGACTCAACATCAGACTGGAACATCTTCAGTGGATGTAGTGTTGGCAGTTTAATATGCCTTTATTATTGATTCAACATTGACTCAGTTATTGACCACCAACTGGTTAGTTAGATATCATTCATGTTTGAGTAAAACATGATTTACACCTCAAACTTACCAATAAAAACTGAATAGATTATGAAGCAGAACTTGTAAGCAGAACAATCGAACAAAATAAAAACATATACTTAATGAAACTAATAAATTTTACGATAAAATAGAGATACGATAAAAAAAGAGATACGTCACGTGTTCAGTGAGTTTTACATGATTGGCTCTGAATCCTTTCGAATTGTAATGATTTTTAAAGCTTGAAAATCCAACACAGTGTGAACATCATCTTGATCGCTGAAAAATTCTATAGTACAATATTTTTGATTATCTTCATTTTGACTTTTGAATATTGTGTGTGACACAACTCAAAGGGTTCTTACTCTTATTTGTGATTTATATGCTACACTGAAATACCTGAGGTGGCTATGCTAGTGATAAAATGAAGGTAAGACGGTAGCAGAAAAGCACAAATTCTCCCTTTACTTTTCTCTTATTTACGCGTTTCTTTTGCACAATGTTAAGTTCTAAAATGATTCAGACTTTCTGAAATAGATTCCCTAAAAACACAAATCGGACAGTCTCTGTGTTTCTGTTTAATCCTTTTTTTCAGCATTTACACATACAGATTCTATACAGAGAGATTCTCAGTGTTATATCACCATCTACAGGCGCCAGAATGTAACTGCAGCACCATTTAAGGTGGAATCCTTCTTTAATGTGACTTTAATGCAGCCGACAAAATGTAAAAACACGTCTGAGTAAGAAATAGTGAGACCGGATGAAGCCAAAAAATGTTTTGGTCTTATAAGTAACATACATTATTTGTTTGTTTCTGATGAATATATGTGAATAGAAGCAAATACCAGCATCACTGACACTCATTGGCCTAAAAGTCACAGAGCTCAGACCCTGATTTATAAATAATTAACCTATTATACTTTATATTTATCTTAAAAAAGGCTGCACAGATCACTTAAAAGCGCTTCTAGAATAAGAGCTCATTTAAATATTCACACAAATGCTGTTCACAGTTAACATGAAATCTTAAGAGAAAGGAATTACATTAGACTACTCTGTTAATCAAACCCTGATCTGGCCCATTTAACTGGTCTAGATTTTAGATAAAATCATATGGACATCGCGATCTGTCCGTGTATTTAAAACCATATAGACTAGAATGACCTGAACTGTGTAATATTAAAACTATCAGCTAATATGAAAGGTTTATGTTCTCTTTCCCAGCTTTGTCTGTGCTTTGTTTCAGGAATGACAGCAGAGCTTCCATACACAGGGAAATATGCTGCAAGTTCATCACAATCTAAACAGAGAAGTTACGGTAGAAAATTTGGAAATGAATTAAATTAATAAAAATACTGAAACATCTCTCTCCTCCACCCTGATCTAACATTGGGCTCCCATACAAAGTCTAAGCACAGATAATAAGTTTAATGTTATTCTCTAAATCAGGAATAAAATCCCTTTAATTCACACATTAACGCTGCATCAGATTTTCTCCCTTCAGGTTCCTTTCAGTTATTATTATTTGTCCCTTTGAGCCACTTCAGTGAGTAAAATATGAAGATACGCCAAATCAGGATTAATATAATTCTTATAGAGTTAAACTAAAATCTTTCGTAAGGCTCGCTGTAACATGATTGACACTTGATAGCAGCGCTAAAATAAACAGACTGTGTTAAAAATAATGAAAAAATACAAATATTATATGTACATAAATCTGTACTATATATGATGATGAAAAGCCAGTGATGTCCACAAAAACACGAAGAGAAAAAACGACTGCGGAAAAAGAGAGTGAAAGTGATTGGTTGAAACCGTTCGCAGTGCATTGTGGGATGTGTAGTTTCCGATATTAAACACGTTAAGTACACCGTCTTGTTCCTTTGCCTTTTTGTTCAGTTTTCAAAACTTTTTTGCTCCGAATTCGCGTCTATAATGTCATGGTTGATCTCGTAGCTGGTCGGTTTGGTTTAGCGTTTAAAACTCTTTATTTTAGGATGTTTCGAAATGAAAATTAATGAGACTTTAGCTTCCGGAAGCAGAGCCGCTGATAAAGTGGGCGTCACTGTTCAGGTGTTTACCTGAGCCGCCATTTTGATCAGCAGCAGCAGAGGGATTGAAGAGAAGCTGCGGATTAAAGGATTAAACCGATTTTCTTTCTCTAAGTTTATATTTAGGAACATTTACATTCATTCGAGTTTCTACAAACCAGGAATTCTGAACAGACGGAACTGTTCGCTTCTTTTTGATACAGTGAACTATTCAAAGCTGATATTTACATTTTCTGGTGAGTTTTTCTCAGTAATGCTCAGTTTTTCTGTTTTCTGTGATGAAGAAATGAATCAGAGTTGAACTGAAACAGAATTAAACCCGTGAATGCTGCATTCAATCAATACATTCTGATTTATTCTAGTAAAAAAATAGATAATGTTTGTCTTTAACGTGTGAAAGGACAGACAGCGCTGTGCAGAAGTTTTGGACACCTGAGAAAATTGCATTTAATAAGCTCTTCATCTGGTTAGTGAGTGTATAAATGCATATAATATTAAGAGGGAGATCCATCGATTTTTAAATCATTCAGATGTAATGGAAACTGACCACTGTGTAGCACCTTATTTTGAACTTGGTCTCAAACACAAAGACATTTGATTCAGTTCTCACCAACAGACATGATTATATTTTATACAACAGGTAGTTTCGGCCACGCAAGCTGATTGGTTGAGAAGCGTTCTAACTGTGCTGTTATTTCACCATAACATCACAGGTTTTTCACAAACACTGTATCACTCCGCTGAGATGGTGTTTGACCGATCACATTTGACCAACAGCCGATTTGGTCAGACTCTGAAGATGAGACGACACTAAATTCACTAAAACTGCCGGCTGTGCAGCGAGTGGGCGGAGCTCGTTACTGTGACGTAGCAACAAGCTGCTTGTTAAGGAACTATAATTTGGTGAAGGAACTGCGAACATTAAAACATATAAAACGCCGCGTTCACAGCCCAGTTTATTAATTTATTACTTTATTTATTTAACTGTTGTATAAAAGCAATAGAACACTAAACCAAGTCACAGCCGTGATGGTATTTCACAGTAACACACTCCCTCTCAGGTTCTATTGCTTAAATATTGGTGCCATTTGAAACATGTATTAAAATGCAACAATTTTTTTGGAAAGAATAGTTACACAAATATATCACCAGCACCTGTGAAAAATGGGATTCTGCAGAAATGTGGAATTCTCCTTTAAAACAATTAGATATTTGCACTGTTTTTTCCTGCATGAATTATATTACTTTTTTAGTTTTCTTCTTCACCTGCAGACTGACCTCTCTGCAGTCCCACTGTGTTTTTGTAACAGTAGAATAATGTTAAATAATGTAGCCGAACAAGTTAAAGGTAAATATATTGATGACACTTCAGTTTCACTATAATCATGTGTGTTAATGTCTGGAACATTAAGACTGTCTGTAGTGGGTCAGCAGGTGTTCATCAGTAAGAAGCCTGCAGGAAATATTTTCACGCTGGTATAAACACTGAGTGTTTACACTGTTAACCATCCTTGAAGGTCACTCAACCTTTTATAACAACATTTTGTTTTTCCCAAAGGAGCTACATTTTTCCTCACATGTGTCCTGAGAGACAGAACTGAAAATCAATCTGCAGGATTTGGTGACAGTGTTTTTTGCTTTGTTTTAGGACTTTAGGAGACTCTCTAATACCCAGCTGTGTGTCCATGAACAGTGATCTTCATGTGGATTCTCCGCTAATATTCAGAGATGGAGACCCCTCATCAGGACACTGATGGGTCCCCATGCTTAAACCAGAGGTGAGCTATGATCTTATACTGGTTTAAAAAAATTCCCTGACCTGTAAGTGAGTTTGTATAAAAGTGTCTCATTAATAAATGTAAATGTAAACAAGTTGATATTTTTGTAATCATCAACTGTTCACTATACTTTTTGTTTCTCCAAAGTAATTTGTGAGGATTTGCCCTGTAATCAATGAGTGGAAACTAGTGGTCAGCAGGTTACAAGTGACATTATGATTATTGGTGTCGACTAGATTAATTATTATTTCCTTACTGAGCTTTTCCTTTAAAGATAATTAAAATACTTTATGTAAATCTCTGAAGAAATGTCTCTGATCATTTGCAGTCTAATCCAGATAAAGAGATCAGACTCTCCAGCACCCAGCTGTCTGTCCATGAAGAGTGATGCGTCTATGGATCCTCCAGTAACACTCAGGGATGGTGACCCCTCATCTCTACACAGGTAACAGCTCCCCATGTTTGTATTGTAGTAAAAGGAAAGGCTGAATTATTTTGCATTTCACCAGACTCACCAATAGGCATGTGTTCGTGTGAAAAATTATGTAAACCTTATGAAATATTGTGTGTTTTTTTGATGTGTGGGCAGTATTTGATCATCAGCTAAACAATATGTATAACAAACGTTACATAACAGAACAAGAAACAAAGGAAATTTCACTTTGTAATCATTCATTTAAAAGTAAATTTACTATGATGCCTTTTTAATTTGGAAAAAGAGAGAACGCTCCTGATTTCATTAACCGGTTGCCCCTTTTGACAGAAACAACTTTATGTAGGCATTTCCTGCAACTGTCTACCAGTTTCTGACATCTACTGGGAGAAATGAAACTCCTTCAGGCAGAATTCTTTCAACTGTGCAGTGTTTGACGGGTTTCTTGCACATACAGCTCATTTAAATCTCATGGGGACTCGGACCCGGATTTTTCTGTGAAGCTGCTTTGCGACAATGCCTGTTGTAAAAAGTGCTTTATAAATAAACCTTGAACTTGAACTATGACTTGATTTTGTCCAGTCTTTGTTGTACTCGGTACTCAAAGTTGTGAACTGACTCTATTACACCCCGCTTCTAAATGCTGTACAATTTGCGTCGGAAGTCACTGACTTTGCAGATTTGGATGGGACTAAAATTACTGAGAAAGTTTGGTCGCCTAATGTAAAACTAATCTCTCCGTCATGGATCTTCTGTTAGATACTACTGTTTCACTGGCTAAATCATTATGTCTTTGTTATCGTTATTTCATTTGATATCGGGCTAAACATAATGAAATTGAGAACGATTTTCATCTAATCATGATGTGCCTGCATGTGTAATGGGTTTACTTCTGTGTTGTGTAGGGTTGAATGATAAATGAAGTGATGACATCAGCACACCAGCTTAACATGAGGGAGCATTTATTTTCTCCACCTGCACAGAGTTTACAAAATGCAAATAAACCGGCTTCATTAGCTTTTCTCTCTCTCTCTCGTGCTGTTAGCAGCGTCTGTTAAACATTGTGCATTCAGATTACAACATAGCTGTTACACTACACGAACTATACAACCCTAAAATTGTGAATAAAAATTACAGCTCTTCTTTACAAACAACCAAATGCATGCACTGTCGGTTTAATCTTGTCATATTGAGCAAAAGAAATAAGAAATATCCTGTGAACAATTAGCATCCATACTCTAACTTCACGATTAGCATTCCACCTTAACATAACTCGTGGCCAACAGCGAATAAAACCGTACTAAAACCTCATAAAACAGTGTTTTAACTGCACAACAGCATATCCAGTGTGTGACAATGTTTTTGTGACTGAATTAACTCATTTTATGTCGAAAACTGAAAAATTCAAAGTGTGTTTTAACTCAAAATTACGGAGCTGTGCCAGCACATACCTTCTCTCACAGTGGCGTTTTCCAAAGAGGACGAAAGGTGGGGCTACATCTTACTTCGTACTCCACTCAAGTAAAGGCTGCTAAAACTGCCCATATTGAACTTGCTCTAGTAAATCAGACTTCTCTTTTATATATTCCTCAAGCTAAATAATTTGCAGTAGACAAAAGAAACAATAAAATAATTAAAACTAAGAAATTTACAGAAAGAATTTTACATTTAACAGTCCCCCCTTTCTCTCCTCAATGAATTGCTCCAACAGTTAAAAGCCCTTGCTGATTTCAAAATAAAATCCCTGAAGTGAATAATCTAGTGTAACAACATCACACTGCCACACGTGCACAATATCAGTTATGTGTTATGGCCAGACACTAAACCACCCTTTACAAAGGAAACCGATGGACGTCTCAATGTGTGTGTGTGTGAGAATATGGGACAACGGCAGAGTCAAAACCAAATATATAGGCTTGGAAATTATTAATGTATTGAGCAAAATGACAGATCCGTTCTGAAAGTCATTTTTTGTTTCGTAACAGCAGTCTATATGTTAAATAAGTGCTAGACTGTTACTGATAAAATTCAACATGTTTTATTCAAACATGACAGTATCAATCTATTAGGTGATATTAAAGTTTAACATTAATAAAGTTAATGAACTCATGCTTCCTAAGTTTCCTTATTTCTATGGATTTCAGGAGAGATTTCAGGGTTTTTTTTTCAGTCATTGTCACCGCCGTGTACATCCCACCACAGGCTGATACAGGCACTCGGGGAAACTGTACGAGGCTGAGGAGGCCGTGTGCCCGGAAGCCGCCTCCATTGTTGTTGGGGACTTAAACAAAGCAACTTTAGGGAAGTCACTCCAAAGCATTTCCAACACATCTCATGCAGCACACGAAAATCCCACATGCTGGACCACTGCTACTCCCCTTTCCGTGAGGCGTACAAAGCCCTTCCCTGACCTCCTTTTGGCAAATCGGATCACTTCTCCATCCTCCTCCTGCCCACCTATTAGCAGAAACTGAAAAGGGCACCGCCCACCATTAAAGAGTGGTCCACTAGTGGTTGGACCATTCGGATTCTGCGCTCCAGGACTGTTTTGATGACTCAAACTGGGAGATGTTCCGCAAGGCGTCAAACAATATCATTGACAAATATGCAGTCTCTGTTCCCGGATTCAAAAAAGTGTATAGAGGATGTTGTGCCCACAAAAACAGTGTTTTTATGTTTACCCCAATCAGAAGCCATGGTTCAACTGTGAAGTCCATGCAGCTCTGAATGCGCGTACCGCTGCTTTTAAATCAGGAAACACGGATAAGTACAAAAAAAAGCCAGCTATGCTCTCCGTAAGACCATAAGAACAGCCAAACGCGAGTACAGGGCTAAAGTGGAATCACAGTTCAACACCACCAATACGACAAACCTGTGGGAGGGGTTAAACAAAATAATGGACTTTAGAGGGAAACTCGTTCTGTGAAAAACACCAGCGCAGTGTTTCCAGATGAGCGGAATACTTTCTATGGCCGTTTTGAGGCAAATCATGCCGCGTTCGCGGATCCAGATACTCTAAATGACTGGCGCCCAGTTGCTCTGACTTCCATCATAAGCAAGTGGTTTGAGAATGCTTTCAGGGACTTTATCTGCTCCTCACTACCGGCCATTTTTGACCCACTGCAGTTCACCTACAGACAGAATAGATCCACTGATGATGCAATAGCCCTGACTTTATACACTGCCCTCTCCCATCTGCTAAAAAAGAACCCGTATGTGAGAATGCTGTTTGTGGACTACAGCTCAGCATTTAACACCATCGTGCCCTCAAGGCTTGACATTAAGCTTTGGGATCTGGGTCTGAACAGTTCTTTGTGCAGCTGGATCCTGAACGGGTCAATGCCAGGTGGTAAGGATGGGCAACATCACCTCCTCCTCACTGATCCTTAACATCGGAGCTCCTCAGGGCTTTGTGCTCAGCCCTCTCTTAGACTCTCTGTTTACCCACGACTGTTCAGCCAGACACAACTTCAGTGTCATCATCAAATTTGCAGATGACACCACGATTGTGGGCCTGATCTCCAATGACAACGAGGAGGCCTACAGAGAGGAGGTCAGCTTCCTGACATACTGGTGCCAGGAGAACAACCTCTCTCTCAATGTTGACCAAGGAGCTTATAATGGACTCCAGGAAGCAAGAGAGAGTGCACACACCCATCACCATCAATGAAACCGCTGTAGAGAAGGTCAGCAGCTTCAAGTTCCTCTGTGTTTACATCTAAGAGGAACTGACATGGAGCGAACACACCACACGGGTCTGAGTATCTCAGGCGTCTGAGTAGGTTTGGCATGTACCCTTGCATCCTCAGAACATTCTACATATGTACTGTGGAGAGCATTCTAACAGGCTCCATCACCTCCTGCTATGGACACTGCACTGCCATTGAGTGAAAAGCTCTGCAGAGGGTGGTGCGGACAGCCCAGCACATCACCAGGGTCCACCGGGGCTTCAAACCTCCTGGATTTATACACCAGCCACTGTCTGAGGAAGGCCAGGAGGCTTATAAAAGACTCCACCCACCCAAGCCACTGTCTGTTCTCACAGCTGCCGAGCTGGAGGATTTACAGAAGCATAAAGTCCAGAACCAGCTGGTTCCGAGACGGTTTCTTCCCCCGGGCCATCAGTGCTGATGTATTGGTTTCACTCTGATTTCTTACTGTAACTTCTATCTAGCCAACCTATACTTGCAGATATAGACTGACATCTTTTACATACGGAAAAGTGTACAACTGTACATATCCTAACACTGGTGTACATTTAATGTGTATATTGTGTATATGTGTGTGTGTTTGTGTGTATGTAATATGTATGTATATAAATATATTTATATGGGGTGGGGGGAAAACGTGATTTTCAGATGCATTGCAGTGCGGATGTGGACGATTCTGAATCGATTCACAAATGTCAAAAAATCAATTTTCTGTATTTTAATTGATAATGTAATGTTAACGGAATGTAAAAGGAGGAACTTTGAAGTGCAGAAGTGCAGTGTGTGCAGTCTGTGATGGCACATAACAAAAACACAACTGGATGAGCAAGAAATCCGACCAGCACCCTCTCTCTCTCTCTCTCTCTCTATATATGTATATATATACAATTAACAATTAACAAAAATAAAAAATAAAAAAAAATAAATAAAATAAAAAAATATAAGACAGAACAGAAAGAAACAAAAAAATTATATATATGTTTTGGTTCTTTCTATTCTGTCTTTTTTTTATTTTATTTAATTTTCTTATTTTTTATTTTTATTAATTTAAGCACTACAAGGGGGCCACGCACCAAAGATTTTAACTCACCTTCGCACCTGTGTAAACATGATGTGACAATAGACGTGATTTGACTTTGACTCTGTATGTCTAAATATGCTGGAAAAAGTATGTTCCTTCTTCAAATGACTGTATATACATCAACAGCATTTGCTATTAATAATAATGATGATAAAAATAATAATCAAAATAATGCTACTAATAAACAGTATGATTCATGCATTTAAAACATACATAAAGCATGCATGAATGTCAGTGGGGGGAAAAAGGAAACTAAGAACCTTTAGAAAAAAACAACAATAAATGAAGGAAAAATGATTACGAAGTGAAAACTAATCAGTACTGATGACTACAATGAAAAATGAAATGAAATAATTATTAAAATTATGTTTTCTAGTTAAACAGGAAATGCCAATGATAAAATTAATGTAAATTACTTGTGTCTCTGTTTTTATGCAGTCTGATCAAGGCAAAGAGGTCCGATTCTACAGCACCCAGCTGTGTGTCAGTGAGGAGTGATGCGTCTATGGATCCTCCACTAACGTTAAAAGATGGAGACCCCTCATCTGGACACAGGTAACAGCTCCTCACAGTTGAGCCATTGTGGACAGAAAAGCTAATTTGATCTTTTTGTAGAAAAGGTCAGACCAGTAATATGACGGTGGAGTTTGTGTCTGCAGCGCCTGAGATTTTTAAAACGCCGTGTGGAGGAGGGGGTGTGGCCGAGTGTCACCTGCAGGACGGACAGCCAGTCATGTTGAACCAGCAGGCTGAGCAGTTGATAATGTGCAACTGTGCCTCGTTTCTGCCGGCCTACTTATAGCCATCTCTTTTCTCACTAGGTGATTATGGGTAGTATCATGGGAAGTTATATTCTTGTGGGGCAGTTGTGAGCCTCGTGACCGGAAGGTTGCCGGTTCGACCCCTGAGCTGACAGATGTTCGTGTATGTGGGTGTTTCACTGCGCGGATGGGTGAAATGTGGAGGTTTAATTCTTCTGTGTGTGCACAGTTGGCCAATGGTTCTAAATATAAAAAAATGCTGATTGATTTTGTGTTTTGTGTGAAGAAACAGAGCTCTCGGTCTCCACACCTGCTCCCAGTGTTCTCAGTCCTTGCAAAGAACATTACACAGTATTAGAAAAAAAAAACCCTCACAAGTCAAAACAGAGTTTTCAGTGTAGATAAATGTAATGTCATTATGCCAGTTATAGTGAACTCTGCCTGTCACTGCGTAAAACAGAAATAGATGGTTTCTCATGGAAAAGTAATGGAAAGCTCATTCCACTGTTTAAAAAGTGTATGAGTCCTGAATATAGAACTCCATTTCCAAAAAAGTTGGGACGCTGTGCAGAATGTAAATAGAAGTAGAATGCAACGATATGCAAAATATATAAACCATATTTTTAATGGAAAATAGTACAAAGGCAACATATCAAATGTTGAAACTGAGAAATGTTATTGTTTTTTGAAAAATATATGCCCATTTTGAATTTGATGCCAGCAACATGTTCCAAAAAAGTTGGGACGGGGGCATATTTACTTCTGTGTTTCATGACCTCTTCTTTGTAAGCGTTTGGGAACTGAGGAGACACTGCTGTAGTTTTGAAAGTGAAATGTTTCCCCATTGTTGTTTGATACAGGATTTCAGCTCAACAGTTTGGTGTCTCCTTTGTTGTATGTTTCATTTTATAATGTGCGAAATGTTTTCAGTGGTGTCAGGTCTGGACTTCAGGCAGGTCATTTTAGTGCCTGAATTCTTTTAATATGGAGCAATGCTGTTGTAATACATGCAGAATGTGGTTTGGCATTGTCTTGCTGAAATCAAGCAAGGCCTTCCCTGAAAAAGACGTCATCTGGATGGCAGCATATGTTGCCAAAACATGTATATATCGTTCAGCATTAATGGTGCACATTAACGTCAACCAAGGCATATGCACTAATGCACCCCCATACCATCATGAATATTGGCTTTTGAACTGTGCACTGATAACAAGCTGAGTGGTCTTTAGCCTGGAGAACACAGTGTCCATCATTTTCAAAAAGAATTTCAAATTTTGATTCGTCGGACCACAGAACACTTTTCCACTTCCCCTCAGTCCATTTTAAGTGAGCTCCGGCCCAGAGAAGGTGGCAGCATTTCTGGATCCTGTTTATGTACAGTTTTTTTTTCTTCGCATTTTAGAGTTTTAATTAGCATTTGTGGATGCAGTGATGAACTGTGTTCACAGACAGTGGTTTTCAGAAGTGTTTTGAGCCCATACAGTGATTTACACTACAGAATCATGTCTGTTTTTAAAGCAGTGAAGCCTGAGGGCTCAAAGATTACAGCCAACCAGTATTGCTTTTCCAGCTTGGTCCCTTGCATAAAGAGACTTCTCTGGATTCTCAGAATCTTTTAATGATGATATTAAAAGATGATACTGTAGATGATGGAATTCTCAAGTTCTTTGCTATTTTACATTGTAAACATTATTCTTAAATTGTTCCACACAGAGTGGTGAACTATGTACATGAAGTCTATCTCAGTGCCAATCTGTTGCATTTCTGTTTATTTCAATTATATAAAGGATAATAAAAATGTCAATTTTAGGTGTGACTTATTAAATTATATCACCTTTATAAACATTGTTTAAATGAAGACCCGACATCTGTACAAATATGCTGAAAAAATCTGGTCCTTCGAAAAACAACTGTACATAAAAGAAAAAATTGATTAAGAAGTAAAAACTAATCAGTACAATCAGTAAAAAACTACAATGAAAAATTATTAACACAATTAATAATAAAATGAAATTAATAATTATTAAAATGATTCCATGATCGAGTTAAACAGGAATTGGCAATAATAAAAATAATGTGTCTGTGTTTTTATGCAGTCTAATTAAGATAAAGCGATCAGACTCTCCAGCACCCAGCTGTGTGTCAATGAGGAGTGATGCGTCTATGGATCCTCCACTAACATTAAAAGATGGAGACCCCTCATCTGGACACAGGTAACAGCTCCTCACAGTTGAGCCACAGAGGACAGAAAAGCTGATTCATCCTTTCCAGTAGAAAAGCTCAGATGAGTAATTTGTATTGGTCATGTAATGTTATGAACATTCACAGAACATACAAACTGTGTGGTCTTGTTTTGCTTTTCATTACGTTTTACAATTATACTTTTCAATCTTACAATATAATGCACAATGACCTTTTGATGACAGGGCATATAATTATTAGTGAACATATAATTATTCACTTATAAATATAAGCAGATGTTTCCTCCATTGTATCAGAATCCATTACAAAATATCCTAAAATGTCTATATATCCATTACTAAAATATTCTAAAAGCTCTAGTTACGAGTGTGATCTCTGATTATTATATTATATGATTATTATTGTTATACTTAAAAAGAATTGTTTTAGAGAAATTTAATACTGATGTTCAGGCCGTGCTTTAATGAAAGTATACAGCGCATATAATTTGTGTGTCTACAGTTTCCTGCAGGGGGCAAGAGACAGAATAGAAGAGGAAATCATCACAGATAAAGAGTAAGTACATTATCAACCAACATACAGGGACATGCAGTATGCTGTAAACACAACTTGTCCTGTTACCTCTTAATCAACAACACACTGATTAAGATTATAGAGAACAAAGATAATGTACAGAGAGTACACAATAGAGCATATGTTACATTTGTAAATAAAGGGTAATTTAGTTTGTGAATTTGATAAAATACAAATGTTACTGAGTCAGCAAAATATTCATCTTAGAAGTGTTGTACTGATAATTGGTCGTGTGTCTCACCATGTGTCTCACCATCTGACAGACATGGCCATGATTCTGATGCGGTGAAAGTCCAAGAAAACTTCAAATTGAATCTGAAACAGAAGTTTCAGTGTTTGAATGAAGTGATAACAAACCAGGACACCCCAACACTTCTCAGTGAGATCTACACAGAGCTCTACATCACAGAGGGAGACGGTGGAGAGGTCAATAATGAACATGAGGTCAGACAGATTGAGGTAACATCCAGGAGAACAGCAACAGAGGACACACCAATCAAATGCAATGACATCTTTAAACCCTTATCTGAACCAGACCAACCCATCAGAACTGTGCTTACAAAGGGAGTCGCTGGCATTGGAAAAACAGTCTCTGTGCAGAAGTTCATTCTGGACTGGACTGAAGGGAAAGCAAATCAGGATGTCCACTTCATATTTCCACTTCCTTTCAGAGAACTGAATTTGATGAAGGACCAAAAACTCAGTTTGGTGGATCTTCTTCATACACGGTTTAAGGAGATTAAAGAAATGGAAATATCCAGATCTCACAAAGTTCTGTTCATATTTGATGGTTTGGATGAGTGTCGTTTAACTCTAGATTTTCAGAGCACTGTGAGATTGGATGATGTCACTCAGTCATCCTCAGTGAAGATGCTACTGACCAATCTGATCAAGGGGAATCTGCTTCCCTCTGCTCTCATCTGGATCACCTCCCGACCTGCAGCAGCTGATCAGATCCCCTCTGAGTGTGTGGATCGACTGACAGAAGTACGAGGGTTCAGTGACCCACGGAAGGAGGAGTACTTCAGGAAGAGAATCAGTGATCAGAACCTGACCAATAGAATCATCACACACCTGAAGACATCAAGAAGCCTCTACATCATGTGCCACATTCCTGTGTTCTGCTGGGTTTCAGCCACTGTTCTAGAGAGAATGTTGGGTGAAGCAGAGAGTGGAGAGACTCCCAAAACTCTGACTCAAATGTACACACACTTCCTCATCATTCAGACACAAATCATGAGAGAAAAGTACACAAAGAAGCAGAAGACAGATGAAGAAGTACTTCTAAAACTGGGACGACTGGCTTTTCAGCAGCTGATGAAAGGAAACCTGATCTTCTATGAGGAAGATCTGAGAGAGTGTGGCATCGCTGTTGAAGAAGCATCAGTGTACTCAGGTGTGTGTACACAGATCTTCAGAGAGGAATCTGGGCTGCACCAGAGTAAAGTGTACTGCTTTGTTCATCTGAGCATTCAGGAACATCTTGCAGCTCTATATGTGCACCTGACCTTCATGACCCAGAAGAGAAATGTGCTTAAACTGAGTCAGTCCTCTAAACTGAGGAGCCTCAGGAGAAAAGAAATTAAAATCTCAGATGTACACAAGAGTGCTGTGGATCAGGCCTTACAGAGTAAGAATGGACATCTGGATCTTTTCCTTCGCTTTCTTCTGGGTCTCTCACTGGAGTCCAATCAGACTCTCATACAAGAGTTAGTGACACATACAGGAAGTAGCTCCCACACCAAAGAGGAAACAGTTAAATACATAAAGATGATGATAAATGAGAATCCCTCTGCAGACAAATCCATCAATCTGTTTCACTGTCTCAATGAACTGGATGACCGTTCTCTAGTTGAGGAAGTTCAGCAGTATCTGCAGTCTGACGAACTAAACCAAAGAACACTCTCTTCTTCACAGTGGTTAGCGGTGGTCTTTGTTCTGTTGACATCAGGAGAGAATCTGGATAAATTTGTTCTACAGAAATATAACAGATCGGATGATGTTCTTCTGAAGCTGCTGCCTGTAGTTGCAGAATCCAGAACAGCTGAGTAAGTAATACTGAATAAAACCAATACAATGTTAGAAACATTAAGAATGTAACACTGTTTCATCACTCAAATATTCATTCTTTCAAATACAAATTTAGACACGCAATCCAACTACAACCCCATTTCCAAAAAAGTTGGGAAGCTGTGCAAAATGTAAATAAAAACAAAATGCAATGCTGTGCAAATCATTTAAACCTTATTTAATTAAAATAGTATAAAGACAACATATCAGATGTTAAAACTGAGAAAGTTTTTGAAAAATATTTGCCCATTTTGAATTTGATGCCAACAACATGTTCCAAAAAAAGTTGGGACGGGGGCAAGAAAAGGCAGGCTAAAAGCTCAGTAACATGATTGGGTATAAAAAAGCATGCCAGAAGGGCTGAGTCTTTCAGAGGTAAAGATGGGGAGGGATTCACCACTCTGCGAAAGACTGCACAATCAAATATTGCACCAATTCAAGAATAATGTTTCTCAATGTAAAATAGCAAAGAACTTTTGCTTTTCATCATCTATGGTACATAATATCATTAAAAGATTCAGAGAATCTGGAGAAATCTCTGTATGCAAGTGACCAGGACAAAACAGTTATTTCTGGCCGTGATCTTTGGGCCCTCAGGCAGCACTGCATTAAAAACAGACATGATTCTGTAGAGGAAATCACTGTATGGGCTCAGAAACACTTCGGAAAACCACTTTCTATGAAAACAGTTCATCACTGCATCCACAAATGCAAGTTAAAACTCTAAAACGCAAAGAAGAAACCATATATAAAGAGGATCCAGAAATGCTGCCACCTTATCTGGGCCCAAGCTCATTTAAAATGAATTGAGGGGAAGTGGAAAAGTGCCCTGTGGTCCAACAAATTAAAATTTGAAATTCTTTTTAAAAATCTCAGACCTCTCAGCTTGTTATCAGTGCACAGTTCAAAAGCCAGTATTCATGAGGGTATAGAGGTGCATTAGTGCACATGGCATGGGTGACTGGCAAATCTGTGAAGGCACCATTAATGCCGAACGATATATACATGTTTTGGCAATATATGCTGCCATCCAGATGACGTCTTTTTCAGGGAAGGCCTTGCTTGATTTCAGCAAGACAATGCCAAACCACATTCTGCATGTATTATAACAGCATGGCTCTGTATTATTAGAGTCCGGGTGCTAAACTAGCCTGTCTGAGGTCCGGACCTGTCACCACCGATATCATTTGGCGCATTATGAAATGAAAAATATGACAAAGGAGACCCTGAAACACAGATAATGAAACACAGTGGTAAACATGCCCCATCCCAACATGTTTGGAACATGTTGGCATCAAATTCAAAATGGGCATATATTTTTCAAAAACTTTCTCAAGTTGTGTTTGTAGTATTTTCCTTTAAAAATATGATTTACATGATTTGCACATCATCTGTATTCTATTTTTATTTACATTCTGCACAGCGTCCCAACTTTTTTGGAAGTAGGGTTGTAATTGCGTTCATATTTCTGCTTATTTCATTTGACCTATCTACCTGTATTTGCTATTCAGTAGCATTAATTGGTTTCATTAGACACTCAAATCAGTCAAATTAATGTTTTGAATTAGTGAATTTTGTATGTTATTTTGTTATTTCCTTCAGTCTTTCAAACTGTAATCTGACAAAGAAAAGCTGTGCAGCTCTGGCCTCAGTGCTCAACTCAGAATCCTCCAGCCTGAGAGAGCTGAATCTGTCTTGTAATAAACTAGGAGATTCAGGAGTGAAGCTGCTGTCTGCTGGACTGGAGGATACCTTCTCTAAACTGGAGACATTGAGGTAAGATCATCTTTCTTGCACATGTTGTGGTCCTGTGTAAGATTTATTCTCTGGTAACACTTTCAATTCATGTTTAAGAAGCACATCGTGCATAATTATTTAATATTATGTTCTATTTTTGTCGATTATTGAAAAGTGTAAAAATAATTTGCAAAATCACAACACTGGTGTGATTGGATGTTTCAGGTGTTTATATATTTTGTGTAGCAAAATAATTATTTAATTTTGAATTTTTTTTGGGGGGGATAATCCATGTTTTCATTAAGCAACAGATTGAGAAATAGGCTTGTATAATTTCAAAACTCACTTTGATATAGACAAAGTAGGACAGTAAAACAACCAAAATAATAAATTGGTAAAATAGGCCTTGAGGTAATGTACAAGGAAATAATAAGAAAGATAATAAAACAACACCCTTGATGAAACAAGCAAGTCAAGCAAATCAAAGCAAATTTTCCAGCTCAGTAAAAACTGGAATGTGAAATGTAATGAAAATCACTTGAGTGAGTTTGGTAGAGTTCATTATTCACAGAGTGCATGAATGAGACATACAGCAGAATCTGTCTAATCAGAGCTTATAAATAAAAAGTAGCCAGTGAGTTTCATTTCACACAGACAGAGAGAAACAAACGACTTTTATTAAATAGTACACAGTTATGAGAACTGTATGAGTGTCCTGTCATAAATCACAGAGCAGAGTGTACAGAAAGTCCAGATCCTTAAGAGAGACATTGCTATACAGCACATCACCATAATCTAGAACAGACAGGAAAGCTGCCTCTACGATCATTTTCTTGCTATGTTTAGAGAAGAAAGCTTTGTTTCTATTAAAGAAGCTGAGTTTCTGTCCAGTTTATTAGTCAGTTTCTCATGTATCCAGATGCTAAATTATTTGTATTCAGTGACTCAATACTGGATCCATTTAAAGTAAAAGGTTTTATCACACTATAATCAACAGGGACAGCTCTGGATAACAACATAAACTTAGTTTTATCTGCATTTAAATCTAATTTATGGTTTTGAAATGTGACTTGTATGGTGTTAAAAAGCTTTGCAGTTTTTTCCATGACTGAATTCACAGAGGTTGCAGTGCAATACAAAATGCATCATCAACATCTAAATGTACTTTATAATTTGTCACCGTTATAACTGTGTCATTAATATAAATTGAAAATAAAACTGGACCTAAAATTGAACCTTGTGGGACACCTTCGATTACTGGAAGAAATTCAGATTTGCAGCTCCCTAAGGCCACATACTGTCGTCTGTCAAAGAGGTAGCTCTGAAATCATTTAATAGCATTTTTCTATTCAAGTGTTAGTTAGCGTTTTAGTTTGACTAAAAACAATTTTTAGTTTAACTAAGTTCCACTTTATATATTTTCATTTTATCCACGTATTTATCCACTTAACCTTATTGTAAAAAGTTAAGAGCATAAATTCTGTGCATTTTTGTCTTCACTGCAGTTCAAAGTTTCACACTCTGTCCAAAACTGTTTAAAACTTACAAGATAATGAACAGCTTGTTGATTAATTTATTGTATTCCTCACTACACATACCTTCTTCAGACACCCAAAGTAAGCTTACTAAGATGAGTTTGGACATCCATGTATTCAAATAGCTTCATCCATCCCTATGAAATAATGGATCAGAAAGCCTAGATTAGGTTATATTAATCATAAAATAAAATTTTACATACATACTTTACATTAAGTGTCCTGAAATAGCACATAAATTGTGTAATTTTCATGTTTGTTCATTAGTAAAGAAGCATAATGCTTTATTCATTACAGATAGTTACTGTATTTGTTCATAATTTGTTCTTGCATAGTTACAGGTTACAAAGCAACTGTACTGTGTTACTGATTTTTTTTTTTTTAACCAAACCTTCAGTAAAAGTTCTGTAAATTACAGAAAAAGTGTCTTTTGGTTATGCTTGTAAACTGTGGAACTCGTCACTCAACGTTTTTAATCTAGAAACAATTCTATTTCAATTTTAATTATTTTATCTTGTGCTTCTTCACTTTTTGATGACTTTCATCTTAAAAATGATGCTAATGCTATTTTTCTAGTTGTTCCTAAATAATTAGTTGGTAATTAAAAATACTAAATAAAATGGTAATAATAATTGCTAGTAAAACGAGAAAATAATGGCAATGAAATCCAATCACTTGTAAATAAAATTTTAATTTTAGTTGATACAAAATATTGCATTAGAAATGATTACACTACAAGTGAGTAAAACTGAACACTTAGTTCTTTAATTCGTATCTATTATGTATTTAAGTGGTCAGGCGCAGTATGATGTACAGACATTGTTTCACACTGTAATTACAGTGAAACTAAAAGATAGTGGAGCTGTAATATCAGTTCTTCAAAATAATGTAATTGTGCTGAAATCGTGGCTAAATTACTGCATTATAATCACTCATTTTTGATCTGTTACTTTTACATGTAGGCCCACCTACAGATAAGATGAGGTAAATATACTGAGATTACACAGAATCAGGGCTGTTTACATGTTCTTTTTGTGTTACCTGTCAACAAAATACTGTTACTCTATAATAAAGCACACACAGCTCAAACCATACCACATTTATCTTTATTAACCAATTTTATCATTTTGTATTAACTTATTTATTAATAACTAGAACATTAACATGTAATTTATAGATTTGTACTGCTTATTTTGATAATTACCAATATTACAGATCCATTAAATAAATTTCTCCTAATAAAACTATATTTAATGACTGAAGTCACATTTTGTTGAAGTTTCTGCTGAACTGATCTGTGTATTCTAAACTGAGAGAGTGAAGATTGTGTCATTGCTCTTTCTGCAGGTTATTTAAGTGTAATATCACAGATGGAGGCTGTGCTGCTCTGACTTCAGCTCTGAAATCAAACCCCTCACACCTGAGAAAGCTGGATCTGTCTCTGAATAAACTAGGAGATTCAGGAGTGAAGCTGCTCTCTGCTGTACTGGAGAATCCTCTCTGTAAACTGGAGACATTATGGTAAGAACATCTCTCTGAGAGTCTCACATGACCTGGCCCTCAGTAAAACGTTCTCTAGGTTGTTTGTTTCAGTTATTCAGAGACTTTTCATACTCATATCATTCTGTTGTGCTTTCTGTACTCACCTCTTTTGACCTGGGTACAGATTTATTTTTTTAATTTATCTTTTCTTTTTATCTTCTCTTTTTCACTTCATTGTATTTTACTTCATTTCATTTTTTTTCTATTGTTCTTCTTAACCATACTATTTTATTATAATGCTCTTTAAGCTGCTGCATGTATGAAAAGTGCTCTGTAAATAAAACAGCAGTTATAAGTGGGTACTAATGTAGTGATATTATGGTAACACTAACTAAAATAAATATGCTAAATAAAGCTGCATTTTATGACTGTAGTCACATCTTGTTGAAGTTTCCACTGAACTGATCTCTGTGTTCTGAACTGAGAGAGTGAAGAGTGTGTCATTGTTCTCTCTGCAGGTTGTGGGATTGTAATATCACAGATGGAGGCTGTGCTGCTCTGTCTTCAGCTCTGAATTCAAACCCCTCACACCTGAGAGAGCTGAATCTGTCTGAGAATAAAGTAGGGGATTCAGGAGTGAAGCTGCTCTCTGCTGTACTGGAGAATCCTCTCTGTAAACTGGAGACATTGCGGTAAGATGTTGTCTTCACACATGACCTGGTCCTCAGCAACACATTTTCTCCCAATAAGGCATATTTGATAAATTCACTTCATAGTATGACACCTTAGTGACCTAGTAACTATGCTTAGACTTATCATGCACAAATATAGTATAATTATATACTATATATAATTGTCTGTTATGAATTATTATGACTCACTATTAATGAACGAACACGATCTGATATTAACAAATGATCTGCATAATGTAACATTTTCATATTTTGATAAGGATTTCTGTTGTTGTAGTTGTTGCAGTTGTTGTTATTATTATGATTATTATTAGTAGTAGTAGTAGTATTTGTCATTTGGCACATGTTTGTTATACATTCATGAATTGCCATATCACATATTTTGTTTTTAATATTTACTTCTTATTGAATAATTTTTTTTGTTCATGATCTGTTCTTTATTGCTACTAATATTAACTGAGAGTGAACAGTTGTAAGATTAAAATATATAAACAGTCTAAGTTTTTTTATATTGTTTAATCTTAGTTACTATATTATTTATCTTATCAGATAATTTGTCTGTTCATTCTGTAAATGTATTATGATATTTGATGTTAACTACTGCAGGAAAAAGTAATTCCCTCTTATGTTTTTTCATTAGTTATGGAGTGCAATTCATTATTCATTACAGATGATTACTATATTAGTTCATGATTTGTTTGTGCATAGTTATGAGGTTACTAAGGAATCGTAGTGTAAAGTGTTGCCATATTCTCTGATCTCTATTCAATTGTAGGTTCACAGTCAATATCCTGAGGATGTTTGTTTCAGTTCTTCAGAGACTTTTCATTCTCTCATCATGCTGTTTGTTGTGTTTGTTTTCTGTATTCATATTTGAATTTCCTGATTGAATGCTAAATGAGGACATCAGTGACCTGGTTGTCAGACTGCAGACTGTATTTTAAACACGAGAAGGGCGGCAGTGCAGCAACAGATTCTCAACACAGTGATGTCTGAGTAGCACTGCAATATGTCGAGACCAAGAAAAGAACAAGATCAGTAATTCATGGACTTGAAAGTGAGACTGAACTCAAATACTAATGCTAGTCTGTGGTTCACTGCCTTTACTAACGAATGTAGCAACAAAATATCAGAGTGTAAAAGATTGGTGTTCTTCAGAATGATTTACACTTTACTAATTAATGGCCGTAAAAATACACAAAGATAAAAAATGTCATCATTGTTTATAAGCTTGATCTTCAAAATAAATAAATGTAAGATGTGATCTTGGATCAGGGCCTTGTCGTGGCGGAAGGGCTTGTGTGGTCTAGGGATCTTCAGAGCTAAGTTGTCGGGAGCAACATGCTCCTGGTAGGGTCTCCCAGGGCGAACAGGTCTGGAGTGAAAACCCAACTAACTCGATCCAAAAACCCTCCATGAAAAACGGACACAGAAGATCGTGTACCCTGCCCGGGAGAGGGTCACCGGGACCTACCCCTGGAGCCAGGCCTGGGGGTAGCGTCCCTCGGCGAGCGCCTGGTGGCCGGGCAGCCCACGTAACCCGGCCGGGCTCAGCCCGAAGAGGCAACGTGGGGGGACCATGTTTGCCCACCACCCGTAAGGTCCAGCATGGGGGAGTGGTGCAGTGCCGTACAGGCAGTGGGAGATTGCAGGGGGGCCCTTGGTGGCCTAGGCCCCTGCAGCAGAAACTGGCTCTTGGTACGTGGAATGTAACCACACTGGGGGCGAAGGAGCCGGAGCTTGTGCGGGAGGTTGAGAGGTACCAACTAGATATAGTTGGGCTCACCTCCACCCACAGTGTCGGCTCTGGAACCAAACTCCTGGATAGGGGTTGGTTCCTCTCCTACCCCGGGGTTGCACAAGGTGAGAGGCGCCGGGCGGGTGTGGGGATACTCACGAGTCCCTGGCTGGCGGCAGTGCAGTTGGAGTTTGTCCCGGTGGACGAGAGGGTCGCCTCAATGCGTATTAAAATCGCAGAGAGGAAAACTCTGACTGTTGTGTGTGCTTATGCACCAAACAACAGGTCAGAGTATTCGGCCTTCTTGGAGCAAGTGGGTGGGGTTCTGGAAAGGGCCCCGCCTACAGACTCCATAGTCTTACTGGGAGACTTCAATGCTCATGTTGGCAATGACTGGGAGACCTGGAGAGGCGTGATTGGGAAGAACGGCCTGCCCGATCTAAACCCGAATGGTGAATTGTTATTGGACTTCTGTGCCAGGCATGGATTGTCCATAACGAACACCAAGTTCGAACACAAGGATGTTCATAAGTGTACATGGTACCAGAGCTCCTTGGGTCAAAGGTCAATGATTGACTTTGTTGTCATTTCATCTGACTTGGGACCATATGTTCTGGACACTCGGGTGAAGAGAGGTGCTGAGCTGTCAACTGATCCACTTGGATCAGATGGCAGGGAAGACTGAGGGTTAGACCAGGTAGGCCCAAGTGAATAGTGAGGGTGTGCTGGGAATGACTGTCGGAGGCCCCTGTTCGGAATGATTTTAACTCCCACCTCCAGGAGAGCTTTTCTCATGTCCCGGAGGAGGTAGGGGACATAGAGTCTGAATGGACCCTGTTCAAAACCTCCATTGTGGAAGCTGCCAGGCGTAGCTGTGGCCAAAAGCTTGTTGGTGCCTGTCATGGCGGTAACCCAAGAACCCCCTGGTGGACACCGGTGGTGAGGGAGGCCGTCAAGCTGAAGAAAGAGGCCTTTAGGGACTGGATGGCCCGAAGGACTCCCGATTCAGCAGATAGGTACCGACAGGCAAAAAAAGGTGGCAGCTGCAACGGTGGCAGAAGCAAAATCCAGGGCGTGGGAGGAGTTTGGTGAAGCCATGGAAAAAGACTTTCGGTCGGCCTCGAGGAGGTTCTGGACAACTGTCCGGCGACTCAGGAGCGGTCGGGGTGGCTGCGCCCAAGCTGTATTCGGCAGGGGTGGAGAAACTCTGACTTCAAATGAGGATATTGTCGGTCGGTGGAAAGAGCACTTTGAGGAACTCCTTAATCCGGGAGACATGCCTCCCTCACGGGAGTCAGGGCCAGAGGCCTCTGGCGTGTCAAGCTCCATTTACCTGGTGGAGGTCACAGTGGTAGTTGGCAAGCTCTTCAGTGGCAAGGCACCAGGGGTGGATGAGATTCGTCCGGAGATGCTTAAGGCTCTGGATATTGTGGGGCTGTCGTGGCTGACACGCCTCTGCAATAGTGCATGGGCCTCGGGAACAGTACCCTTGGACTGGCAGACCGGGGTGGTGGTCCCTATTTTCAAGAACGGGGACCGGAGGGTGTGTGCCAACTATCGGGGTATCACACTGCTCAGCCTCCCTGGGAAAGTCTATGCCAAGGTGCTGGAAAGGAGACTTCGACCGATAGTTGAACCCCAGATTGAGGAGGAACAATGCGGATTCCGTCCTGGCTGTAGTGGTGAAGAGTACTGATCAGTCTACATCCCGACCCTCACCTATGGTCATGAGCTGTGGGTAATGACTGAAAGAATGAGATCGCGAATACAAGCAGCGGAAATTAGTTTTCTTCGCAGAGTGGTGGGCTACACTCTATTTGATAGGGTGAGGAGCTCGGCCATCCGGGAGGAGCTCGGAGTAGAGCCGCTACTCCTCCGCATTGAGAGGAGCCAGCTGAGGTGGTTCGGGCATCTGATCCGGATGCCCCCTGGACGCCTCCCGGTGGGGGTGTACCAGGCACGGCCTACCGGAATAAGACCCCGGGGTCGTCCTAGGACCCGCTGGAGGGATTATATCTCCAAGTTGGCCTGGGAGCGGCTTGGGGTCCCCGGGAATGAGCTGGAGGAAGTTGCGGGGGACAGGGTCATCTGGGATTCTCTGCTCTCCCAACTGCTACCGCGACCCTATCTGGACTAAGTGGTTAACGATGATGATGATGATGATGATGTGTAGTGTGTGATTGACTTAATATCAGGGACGGCTCAGAGACTTAAATAAACAGGAACATGTATTTTCAGCTTTTTATGCTGTTTACATCCACATCAGACTCAGACATTGTTCTCTCTGTAGGTTGTATAATTGTAATATCACAGATGAAGGCTGTGTTGCTCTGACTGCAGCTCTGAAATCAAACTCATGGCTGAGAGAGCTGCATCTGCCTGGGAATAAACAGATAAAGACAGGACGTGAGCTGCTGTTAGCTCTTAAGCGTGACAAACATTACAGACTACAAGATCTAAGGTGAGTAACAATGATTGCAGATAAATGTGTACACACTCTTTCTTTCTCTCTCTCTCTCTCTCTCTCTCTCTCTCTCACACACACACACACACACACACACACACACACACACACACACACACACACTGCAGGCTGCAGGCTGCTTTTCCAGATGGATTAAATCTAATCTTAGACTGAACTAAAATACTAAATTGAAAAAGTGATTCACAGTGTAAAATCTGTGTGATTTTGCTGCATGTAACTTTATTATTTTACTGACTAAAGCTGTTTTAAAAAGTGTTTTTATTTTTTTGTATTGAAAATTAATTTTTGGTTCTGTCTTTTTTTTCAGAATGTGATATTGATGATGTGTATTATTAATCACCAAAGAGATGACATCATGAAGATATGAAGTGATTTCTGAAAGTATGTGAGGGAGCAGTAGAGGGAGACACAGTGGGCCTCATTCATGAAATGCCTTCAGAGCAAATTTGTGTTTAATTTGTTCATAAAATGCTTTTTTTCATAAATGTCTGCATTCATTAAAGTGTTTGTAGTGTCAGTGTTCTTAGGCACAAACACAATTTTCACCTGCTCTTTACCATGTGTAAAAAAAGCGTAACATTGGAAAGACACAAAATGTCAGTTGACATGACTGTACTGTAATTCAAGTATTAACTAAAGAATTAAATACTAAACAATGCACCAAAAAATAAAATCAAATGAAATTACACACAACAAGCACTCAGTTTCCTTATACAGCATGTTATTCAGAGAAGCTTCCAGTGTTTTTTTTCTAATTGTTTGCCAAGTTATTTTGTTACACGTGATTAATTAGTTAATTAATGTGGATAATTTCATGATAAAAAAATTAGGGTCTGTAACAGTCACCTGTGAAAATGGCTGAAGTTGTGGTGCTACTGGATTTAGTGGACAGAGCTCTGCAAAGAGAATGGGTCTTTAGAGATTGTACAGATTTATTAGCTGAGAGTGAAAACTGGGTGGTTAGTCGCTTTTGTCTGCCGAGACCCATTCTTTTGCATTTATGCAACACTTTCGAGCCAGCTTTGAGAAGGGAGTCCAACAGATCCCACGCTATTCCCATACCTGTACAGGTGCTACCCATGCTTGGCTTTTGGCCACTGGAACATTCCAGCGGGAGATCAGGAATTTCTAAGCCCTCAATGAGACGCATCATTCTAGGAGTTTTAGACAGCATAATGCATCTAATGCCGTGCCACATCAAGTTCCCCTACAGTATGCAACAACAGCTGGAAGGCAAACAGAATTTCTGTGCCATTGCAAACTTCCCAAACCTTATTGGGACTATCGACTGTGCACACATTCGCATCAAGGCACCATCTGATGATGTATTTGCATATACTTTGCATACGTTGTGGGAAGGTGGCCAGGTAGAACTCATAATAGTTTGATCCTGCAACACACCATGGTTAGCACACATTTGGAGAGTAATGCTATAAGAGATGGCTGGCTCACCGGTAAACAAACATAAGGGCTAAAATATTGTAGGTTTATTCATATATATATCAAAAATGTCATGTTATCGTTTCATTTTCCCCACTTCAGGAGACCTAAGTGTGGCATTCTCCCACCCAGTTCGCCAAACCCCAATGTGAGCATTCCAAATGCAGCAGTTACGCGTTGACAGGACTTAATTGGACATTTCTGAAATGGTGCGTCCTCTACACAAGTAAAACATAAACTCACACCAGACAACTTGAACCAGTGCATTACACATTTTCATTTGACTGTGCACAACACTGCTTCATAAATTTTCTTGTTTGTCCAGCACTGCTTCAGTCACAGTTCTGTTTCCTTCACAGATGGCACTTTGGCTTGGAGGTGAACTGGCCCAGGAGCGTGAACTGGTCCAGGCGAGTAAACTTTGGTAGTGTGGGAGGAAGATGCTGTTTGTAGTGGATTGTCTGAGAAATAAATGTAATAAATACCATGTAAAAAAGTATGGATGCCTGGTTCAATGAAAATGTTTGTACAAGCAAAGAAGTCATAAGTGACAGTTGTTCATTTTGATAGCTCTGTTTGTTTAGGTAAAGCATGCATTTTCTAATTTACAAATAATTACTAAAATCAGGCTTGGAAAAGTCACTTTCTCAGCATGCATTTATCAACCAAACAACAGCGTACATGTATCTAAATTCTTTGCAGTGAGCCACCTTTTAGCCAGCATGATCATTTTGGCTAGGCAAGGTGAAAATGGCACAAAACCTTAATGATTAACTTACCGTCGGATTTATCTGGAGGTTCGTCCAGCTGCAGATCACTGTTACTTCCAGGAATAATACCTGACAAAGAGTTCATCTACAACGGACAATCTTGATGACGCAGGGCCTCCTCCTGTCTGAGACTGTTCCTGCTGGGGTGTGCTGATATGTTTTTTTAACATTGAAGCCTCATGTCGAATGATTTTCTCTCGAGCTGGACTGTTGTGGTAACCAAAGAAACTGCATTTACAGCACATGTAATTGCTGCGAAGATGCTTTTTTTGCTTTTTTTTTTGGACTAATAACACCACTGTGGACACTCAAAAGTAAAAATTGCTGTGGGTCCTCCCTCCATTGGCTCCTTTATATGGTGGTCATTTGTCATTCATTGGAATGGATTATGGTAATTGTATGCTAATTAACATGCACATGCACCCGATTTCCGAACCATTGGTATTCATTAACATAAATATGTTCTACTAATAAATTTGCTGTTTACGCAGCGTTCTTAAATCTGGGGGCGAGTTTTCAGAAAGGTACTTGTAATTTATTTGTTTTTATGAAGGTTTCATAAATGAGGCCTAGGGTGTGTTAATACAGTATGAGTGTGTGGACTAGATGGATGTGTGTGTGTTTGTGTACAGAAAACTTCATGAGAAAAAAAAAAAGTAAACAAACAACACCAAAGATGAATGTATGATATTCTTATGTATGAGAATCTTCTACTCTGTCACACTCAGGTAACAGATGGACCATGTGCTACTTTGTCCAGTGAAGAAAACAGACTGTAAACTAGTCACAGGTCATAATGTTTTATATGTAGAAACCAGAAGAAATGTTTTTTTGTCAATCTGTGTGTATGTACCAGTCGAGAGTAAGTTCATTTATGTTTTTGTTTCATCTTTTGTCTTCCAGGAAAGCACAGTTATTTGAAGTGAAGCTCATTTTAAATCAGAAGCAGTAACCATGCTGCCTGCAGTGTGGCTCCTGTGTTAAACAGAGTGACCCTTTGAACTGGTTGTCTGAGTCTATTTTGGCTGTTTGCCTCGAAACGTTTGTACCAAATTGTGAAAGTGTAGATTCTGAGAGTTGTGAGGGATTCAGGTGCAGCTTTATTAACAACAGGACAATCCCACACTCGTAGTAAAACAGGAAGAGCAAAAAGGTCATAAAAGTAAATCAGTCAAACAACTCAGGCAGTGATACAAAAAGGACAAAAGATCAAAGACAGATTAAAAAATTCAAGCAAACACAAGAGGGTCAAACAATACAAATGCCTAGTAGTTAGACTCAGAAAGACTGGCAATACTTTGCAACAACAGGCTGAGTTTGGGGAGTATTTAAGGTGAGACTGATTAGAGAAGTAAGGAGGTGCAAGTGGCATGACCCATCTATGTCTAAGGCGGCAGGACCTCCACAGAGGTAGAAACCTGAGGACCAGTGCCAGAAAAAGGTTTGAGTGGTGAAACATGAAAAGTGGGTGACATTCTATAATGGGGAGGCAACTGAAGCCGGTAGGAAACCGGATAGATCCTTGTAACAACTTTAATAATGGGTGGAGGGAGGACGCTGGGGCAGGTGTGAAGACAGAGAGCTTTTTTTTATTATTTATACACAATGCAAAAACCACTCGGCTTTTCAGCCCACAGACAAATTAAGACAAGACGCTCGCTGGGACTTTTCAGTCCTTTCTTTTTGTTCGGCTCGGCTCTCACGCCTTCACGGGTCTCCTTCTCTCTCTGGGCTCTGCCGCCTACTAAGGGAAGAGATGACTATAAGTAGGCTGGCAGAAACAAGGCACAGGTGAATATCATCAGCTACTTAGCCCGCTGGTTTTAGCCCGACCAGCTTCTCTGTTCTGCATTAGGCGCTCAGCCCCACCCCCTTCTCCACAATCCTACTGACAATCTTGAAAGGTCCTATATATCTGGGACTTGGTAATTTTAATTTCAAATCCTTGGTGGACAACCATAGCCTCTGACTCACTTCATACATAAGACAGTCTCTGCGATGACGGCCAGCTTGGATTTTCTTTCTCCTTATTCGTCTCTGCAGGTGGACATAAGCTTTCTCCCAAGTCTTTTCACTCCTTCTCTTTCAGTCATTTACAGCTGGACCTTCAGATGGCTCTCCAGACCAGGGAAAAAAAGGAGGTTGGTACCCCAGGACATACTGAAAAGGGGTTAGACCTGTGGAATTATGGGTTTCATAATTTATAAACGGCTTGCCAGACATGGGAGGTAAACTGGGGACCCCATTCTGATACAGTATCTTCTGGGAGACCGTAAAATCTGAATACATCACGAAACAAAGTCAGTTTCTATGGCCGTAGGTAACTTACTTAAAGGAATGAGTTGACACTCCCTGGAGAAACAGTCAGTAACCACTCTGATGAATTTGTAGCCCTGAGAGGAAGGGAGGTCCGTTATAAAATCAATAGACAAATGTTGACAAATGTTTACAGACAATTGGCCAGTCTGTAACAGCTTTCGCTTTGTTACTGTCCATCTGTACCCCTTATGCACTGATGATGTAATCCAGAAAGGAAATTACGGATTTGTGGAACTTGCATTTCTCCGATTTTATAAACATCTGATGGTCTTGTAGTCATTTCAAGACATGCCTGACATAACTATGTGTTCTTCTCTTGTGTTAGAGTAGATCAGGATGTCTTCTGTGCATACAACCACCCAGCATGTCACAAAGTACTTCACTGATGAATGACTGGAACGCGGAAGGAGCATTTACCAGGCTGTGTGACATTACAGTATTTGTAGTGCCCATTTGTAGTAAAGGCTGTTTTCCATTTATCCCCTTCATGAATGCAAACTAAATCATAGGCACAACGGAGGTCCAGTTTGGTGAAAATTGTGGCTTGACAGGCTTGTTCTAGGCTGGAAGGCACTAAAGGGAGTGAGTAACTGTATTTTATAGTAATGACATTTAAGCCCTGATAATCAATGCATGGTATCAACCCACTGTCTTTTTTTCTCAATTAAAAAAAAAATGCTGCGGCTGGGGAAGTAGAGGGATGGATGTATGCCTTTTCTAGTGCTTCCTGAATGTATTCTTCTATTCCAGCAGTTTCAGGAATGGAAAGGTGGTAGATTCAGCTTCTAGGGGGAGTGGTGCCTGGCAGCAAATCTATAGCACAGTCCCAAGGATGATGAGGGGGTAATTGCACAGCTTTGATTTTACAAAAAAATAGAGAAAAGTCAGAATGTTCAGCAGGGAGCAGGACTTGTTTTGTGTGTTAGGGTTAGTGGTTAGGCATGGAAGGACCAGACCATGGGCATGGCAATGAGGACTCCAATGTGTGAGATCTCTTGTGGCCCAAGAGACGGTGGTGTTGTGGATGGCTAGCCATGGGTATCCTAATACAATGAGATGTTCAAGGGAGTCTGTGACAAATATCGGTGCTGTTTCAGTATGAAATAAATACGTTTCAAAGGGTTAGTGGTGTCAATATTAGTGTCTATGCCTGTAGGTTGGTTAGGGAGAAGAATGGTTAGGGATCAAGTGAATGATCTGTCAGTGAAATTCGCAGCTGCCCTGGAGTCAGTCAGGGCTGAAATGACACAGAAAGGCAGGCAGAGAGCCAAATACAAGAAGGTCAAACAATACAAACACTCAGTAGTCAGATTCAAAGGGACCGGCAATACTTTGCACCATCTGGCTAAGTTTGGGGAGTATTTAAGGTGAAACTGGAAGATGCAGGTGGCTTGATCCTGGAAGCAGGGCTAGTACTCATGAGAGAGAAAGACTTCTGGTGGCCAGATGAGGAATTACTGACAAAAATACGCTTCCATGACATTTAACTTACGAGCAAGTGCTGATTAAGTTCACCAACGATTGTTTTGAATATGTGCTGTCCTATGAATATGTTACACTTTGTGCAATATATACAGTATTAAAATGCATACTTTGTGGTGGACATATATGTAATGCACCAGGGGTCTCGCCCTGAGTGAGAATCAAACTCACGACCCTTATGTGATAGTTGGGAGTGCTGTGGGACAAACCACCTGGCAGACACTAGAGGATAGTCTCAAGTGCAGAGCAAATGAGAGTTGGGTTAAAGGAACAAAGGGGTTAAGAGCGGGTCTGAACAGACACAGATTCCATACAGAGCGATTTTCAGGATGTTAAATGTCATCTACAGGAGCCTTAATGTAACTCCTGCACCATTTAAGATGGAACGGGAAATTCTCATAAGAAGTTGGTGAATAAGAAGCTACTTCAGCCTCGTAGCTGCACAAGATGTCTCAGTATGAACTGGTAACTATATGGGGTTTGTAGTTTATCTGCCGCTCTAAGCAGATTCACTGCATGAATGAATTAAATAGGAGCTACACAGAGACTCTCCTCCTCCTCTCAGCTCCTCCTTAAACACCGAAAGTGAAAGAGTTCTGCTGAACTGAACTAAATGTCATTTACTTCAGCAACAGCAGAACATTTGAAGAGAAGCTGCTGATTAAAGGATTAAACAGATTTTCTTTCTCTAAGTTTATATTTAGGAACATTACATTCATTCAGGAGTTTCTACAAACCAGGTATTCTGAACAGACGGAACTGTTCGCTTCTTTTTGATATAGTGAACTATTCAAAGCTGATATTTACATTTTCTGGTGAGTTTTTTCACAATAATGCTCCATTTTCTGTCTTCTGTGATGAAGAAATGAATCAGAGTTGGACTGAAACAGATTTAAATCTGTAAATGCTGCTTTCATAATCAATACATTCTGACTTAATCTAGTAAAAATCATAGATAATGTTTGTCTTTAAAATGTGAAAGGACAGACAGCGCTGTGCAGACGTTTTATACACTTGCAAAAAAAAATAGATTTAAAAAGCTATTTATTTGTAAAGTCAGTGTTTATTTGCCCAAAAACAATCATGTCACAATAAATACAAATAATATTAAAGGGGAATTGTTTTGATTTTAAGAAATATATGAAAATGAAATCATTAATATGTAAATAAAGTTATGAATGTTTTTATGTGTAATGCAATGAGTCAGAATTCATAGTAACTAAGAGTTTAATGTCCATTCATGATGGACAGATACATGCAGGGCATTATAAGCCAACAGAGTCCCCAAAGAAAACTTATATTGTCATGTTTATTAGTATTTTACCATCAACATTACAAATAAAAACTCAGAAAACACTTGATTCACTTTGGATGGTACCCAGTAAACGATTTTTGATTCCCTGGGAACTGATCGTTTTTGGTTCCCCTTGGTTTTCACCCTTGCTTTCAATACCTGTTTTAATAAGCCTTTATCCACTTGGACTCATCATTTCCTCTTTATGAGCTTAATGAGCACTTTATGAGCTCAAGTGAAGGGTGTTATGTGAGACCTGGGGGGCGAGGGAATGAGCGAACATCAGTGTCGACTCCAGCAGCAGAACTGACACAGACATCATTGTGACCTGATGCATTTCCCATAGACATATACACAATAGACACCCACATTGGCCATTTCAGTCCACTGGTAAGATATGTCATCGCATCCGTAATGTTGGTCCAGGCAAGACTAGCCCGTCAACAAATAAAAGTAATGGGGAACCTGCTGTTTTTCTGGATAAAAAGCAGTATAACTTTACATTTTAAAATAGATTTCAATTAATCATTTTTACATTCAAAGATTTATGATCTACGTGCAGTACAAAAAAAAAAGTATTTTGTTGATAGCTTTAATTGGAATGTAACTGCAGCACCGTTTAAGGTGAAATGTAAAATTTGAATAAGAAGCTGGTGAATACGAAGACAACTTCAGCTTCATTTTTCTGTTTATGTCCCCATCATTTTAGCTTTTCTTGTGCTTCCTGTCAAAACA